ATGTATTACCACTTGGCCTCATAAGCTCAGTTGGTGGAATACCCGAATGGTAATCTGTAGGTCCTGGGGAACAATTACGTTTTTCTAAAAAAATTATTATCTTTACAGTATAAGCAAAGATAATGATGTGCAAATGCTGAGCTAGACAATAGTAATATTAGTGTAATTTTATATAGCGCACATATCCTAATTCTAATGTAAGATGCTCAGGGCGCTTGATATGTGGACTAGGAACTCGATCAATGACTTTCTTCCCCCTAAGGGTCCCTTCGTGTCTGTGCTACCCGGTAACCCGGTATCAGCAACTCTCGTCGTCCACTAGTAGACAGTAGAACACAGAATATTTTATTCAGCTAGGCAAAACAAATATTTTGTCTAGTCCTCGAGACTTCATCAGTGTAACTAACTAGAACTTGGTGGATAAAGATCAGATTATTAGTACTAAAGAATGCTGGGTAATTTAGAGATTAAGAGGGCTGGTATATGTGAACAAGATAATAAATATTGTTTGAAGGTTTGCTTCAATCGTCTTCACAAGATAATAAATCCAGATTGTGATAAAAACAATGTAATTAATTATTAATTAATCTACTGTCTAACTCAGCATTTCCACATCATTATATTTGTTATTATTTAAACATACATGTACCTATATATGACTCAATGTATTTTATTATCTCTACATATATATACGCTGTAGAATAAATATAATATAAATCATAAATCATCAAAGGTATATATACAGTGTTTAATAAAGACATTTTAATAAGGACGTATTTCCAGATTTATCTGGCCGAACGCCCTCCTGAGGCATAGCATTGTGTAATACAATGTTCCCGACGGGTATTTGGACCTGTTCAACCATGAAGCCTTCGTGGTCTAGTGGTTATGACGCTCGCCTTGTCAGCGAGAGGTCGCAGGATCGAATCCCGTTGGAGGCATTTTATTGCACAATGATTTTTCATAGGACTTTATTCGTTGAAAAGCTACAGGGTAGCCTACGATGTTCCATCATGTCCTTATTAAACACTGTATGTGCACCTTTGATGATTTATGATTTATATTATATTTATTCTACAGTGTTAACGGCTAACTTCCTTCAATATCATATATAATATACGACAGTATTTCTAGCCGTATTTCCAGATTTATCTGGCCGAACGCCCTCCTGAGGCATAGCATTGTGTAATACAATGTTCCCGACGGGTATTTGGACCTGTTCAACCATGATGCCTTCGTGGTCTAGTGGTTATGACGCTCGCCTTGTCAGCGAGAGGTCACAGGTTCGAATCCCGTTCGAGGCATTTTATTGCACAATGATTTTTCATAGGACTTTATTTGTTGAAAAGCTACAGGGTAGCCTACGATGTTCCATCATGTCCTTATTAAACACTGTATATATACCTTTGATGATTTATGATTTATATTATATATACGGTAGAAGAAGAGGAATCTGCGAGTGCGAAAAATTCCCCTACTGGGACCCGATACCTTCTGTTGTTTATACAGATATAGTGTGTATGTATACATATGGGCAGTTTGGATGTCAAACTATTTTTATAAGAAACTAATGTTATAGGCTTCATATTTTCAGTGTTAAATATCTTTAAGTTTCTGTAGAATATAATGTTTCCTTGTTATTTGAATATATTTATTTTTCATTTTTCATATGAATTTGTAAAAAAAAAAGATTTAAAAAAATGTTTGATTATAAATTAATAATAGTAAAATGTAGCTTATATATATATCACAATTAGATTCATTAAAAATAGGGGAAAATATATTTTATGTTTTCTATGAAAATCGGAATAATGCAAGTTTCTTAAGTACTCGCACTTAAACTGCTTTAGTAAGCATACCATCTAAAATCTCCTTTGGGAGTGATCACAATTTTTTCTTCACATGCAGTACAAATACAATTATAATACAGTCATCACGAACATAATCACAAACGTGACTAATTGCCGGTTAAATTATTAATTTACTTGATCATCAATAGATTTAAATATTAATATCTTTTCCCTGCTTGAAAAAAGCTAAAAAAAATAAATTGTGTATTAAAATACTATATCGTACCACAAAGGTTGCCATTAAGTCAGTATTAACAAATTTTTAAAAAGTAATTTGAGAAATAAAAATGTACAAGTACTGACCACAAATTCAAAATGCAGTACCAAATTCTGCCTAGTCATTATTATATATGTGAATCATCATATATGTACACAATGTTATTGGTGGTGTAATTTCAAACATTTATTACATAGTTATAAATGATTGGCCATTTTTCATCTTGTGGTTTTTTTTTTTTTTTTTCATCTTGTGGTTTGTTTTTTTTTTTTTTTTTTTGTAGCTTACTGACGAGGTGTACCTCAGGGACTAACAATTAACACATTTCCTTGCTGGTTTCAAGCCTTTTAATTGGAGACAAATCAATTTGTGAACGTGTGGGCTTGTAGGAATATTGTCGCAGGGACAACTCGTTTGTGATTTTCTTACCCAGGGGACGTCATTTCTTTGAAGTGCATGACTTAACAATATTATGTGTGTGTCTAACACGTTGTAAGTCAACCATCACTGTGTTAACTGTGCACATGGATTAGTAATACTCCCGAAGCAGCCATCATGTTAGACATCATATAGATGTGAAGGCAGGGGGAGGCCAATTTCCCTGACGAAAATAGTGGGCGTGGTCAGGCGTCGCTCAAAATCCCCCGAAAAATATGACAATTTAAGGGTTTTAAAGGCTTATTTAATCGATTTTGTGTCTACGAATATATAGAAAATACATATACATTTTTTCCTTGATGAATTGTGGTTTTTCTCCCCGATGGGGGAAGGGACCAGCTGTCTTTGAAAAGGGGGACCTGGCCCGTCCGATGGCGCCACCCTTGATCAGAACAAGGTCAGGAATACAAGCGTGTCCTACAAAGACATCCCACAAATGCAGGTGTTCACATTAACAATGTTTTTTTGGGACTTCCGCAGTCCCCACAAAACTTTTTAATGCTGACAGTATATGTTTTTTACTTTGGCCATAATATACAAATAATTCAAATTCAAACTGTTTAGCTAAACATATTATTTTGATTAATGTTGGTAATCAATACAGTTTTGATATGGTATTGAACAGATTGATTGAAATCTTATGGTATTTTCAAATATTGATTACTATGGATTGATATTGATTAATATTAATTGATATTGATTGGTATTGAATTGTTCAGAGATGTATGAATGGGTGACTGTCAGTCATATTTAATATTTATTATGAATAATTATTTGCTTAAAATTTGGTTTTTGTCATTTATTTTGTTGTGTTTTGCGATTATTTACAATTTTTTACCTACTTGATATGGAGATAAGCATGTTTTCGGAGTGTTAGTCAAACTTAAAAACTGACCAGTCATAACATTTAATAGCCAGGGCTACCAGCATGTCCCACAAACAACGCAGGTTTATGTGCTTTACGTTGCACAACGTAGCAATATTCAAGGAGTAGGGCTTAAGCAAGACTTTTTTAATACCTTGTTTCGTAAAAATTTTATCCGAAATCATCATTATTGGTTGTCGGCGGGTTCGCTATACAAGATATAAAAATGTCTTGCCTTGCTGGATTTAATTTCATATCCGCAGATATTGATTGATTACCATAATGTGCTATTGATATACCCTTTATCATCACCACCATCCTCAGTATCATATTATACATTGAATCGAATTTAAACAATTTTACCAATAATTATAAATGGCAACCCTTCCATCAATCCATCGGCCGATAATCATCATATTTACTTGAATTGTATCACTAAAATAATATAATCATGTCAATAATAAACAATGGTATGTATGTTAACAGTCGCTGTTGCGCACGTGTGGAGCCAATTATTTTCAAACATTTAGGAACAGTACGGAAGATATTGCACACTGAAAAAAGTCAACGGTGTATTCCCTGATTAAAAATTTTAAAGTAAATGTAGGTATGTGAGTAACCCATACTTGCATCGTCATTGTATTAAAATAAAAATTAAAAAATAATGATAATAAGTGATTGACTTAAAATGTCAACGAAATTAATCTATCGAATATATTTATTTATGGCCAAGTAGGAGCGTTCGTATCGCAGCACTGTTCCTACCAATCCTTTCTCCACCACTATACACGGAAATCGTATCGTTGGGTTCTAAACCGACATAGCTCAACAGAGCACTCGTGAGTATCGAATATATTCGTAGTGTCTTCATTCGAATGTGTTTTTTTAGGTAGTGACGTTATACTAAATGGTCAAGGTAAACAGGATCTTCATCATTGAATGCATCCTGACACATACATGTCAAAGTTCACACACTGATCGATATCCGTATGCAACAATATCTACACATGTAGCTTCCTTCCGTCTGTCGCGCAATAGTTAAAAATTCGTACATATTAGTTATTAAATAGGCCTACTGGTATTTTATTTTATTATAACCAAAGAGATAATAGTAAATGTTACCTCAGCAATATCGTACGTTTTTATTTGTCTCCTGTTTATACATTTTTAGGAACCCATCATATTGATGTACGTATAACGTAATAATAATTAAATAATAAATAATGTGATATATAATAGATGATAATAATAATCAAATGCAGAATTTCATATCGCAATTTGTGATGGGACCCCAACAAAAATCACCCTTCGGCCAAGTTTCTCACCATGGCCCCTTCACTCAAGCCAATGCCTCTAAGGTTTCACTGGTCCTTATAAAGAGAACAATTAAGTCGCTGCTATTTTTCCCCATGAATAGAATGTGTGCACAATGATTGGCGAAGAATCGGCACGTGACAGTGTATTTTTAAACATTTATCCTTCAAGATGAAATGATTACTCATACCCACTCATACCTCATGCCTCACCAGCGTTCAGTCGCGTGACCATCAGTGTGGTTTCATTAATTTTTTGAAAGCGGATCACAGTGTTATCATGTTACATTTGTACGTTTGAGTAACGTTCTCCCACGCATTAATCAAGTTTAAAAAAAAGACAGGGGCGGATTTAAGGGCCCGGCCCCCCCCCCCTTTTTTTTTGGGAGGTAAAAAAAGAAAAAAGAAAGAAAAAGAAAAAAATGATAGCCCAGAACGCCTCAAATGTTATTTTCGGGCGTCTAGAACACAAACATTTCGCGGGGACATTGTTGTCTCGATCAGCCCAAATTTCGGGGGGGGGGGGCCTTTTTGGACATCTCTAGATCCGCCCCTGAAAGATGACAATTATTAATCATACGTACTGTAACAAAGTGAGTCAATGCTAATACAGTAAAATTAAACTTTATGAAATTATGTCTAAGTAAAGTTGAAAAGTGTACTTAATATTCGACATGCGCGGCATAGAACGTCACCGGTAACTCAGAACATACAATGAGGGCGACAAATAGATTAATGTAAACCCAAATCGATCAAACTTTTTAAAACATAATTCAACATTCTATTATTTAGCGCACACCCAATTATGGTCCATCATTAATTTTATTCCCAGTGTACACTTGAACCCCTCTCATGGTCCATTGGTTATTCCCGTTTTCTTTCGCGATTCTATATTACTCAATTTATAGTACATCTCCATGGTCATCGTCCATCTCCTTGTTGCATGATTACCTTGGCATACGTCAAGCCCAAGGGCGTCGATCCGTGGTTGAAAGTGGGTGGGGGGGGGGAACGAAATGAAAAATAAAGTCTTGTGCCGTAGGCCCAAGCCTAGGTTGGGTACCAGAGAGCGAAGCCCCCTAGAAGCTCTGGCGCCTACAGCCTTTTAATTGATTTTAAGCAATGTAATTAACATTTATTTCCATACGAAATTTTTAATATATCCAGTGGCGGATCCAGTAATTTGAAATAGAGCTTGACCGAGAGGGACTTTACAGATGGAGAGTATAGACCACCTCAGCCCCACCATGGTTGGGGCTGAGGTAAGAAAAGTTATGATTATGGCACCGCTAGTTGGTCGGAAATGGCACTCTCAGACTATATTTTAAATTTCGAAAAAAAAATAATAGGGATGGTGGGCCGACTGGGCCTCTTGAATCTGCCACTTAAATACTCATCATAAAAGGTTTTTAAAATTATCCTTTTAGTCATAATTATGCCCGCTTATATATTTCGTGCAAACTAACATTCATAAAAAATAATGATTTATTAACAACTGATTAGCTTGTGACGTATTCAAAATTCGAACCATGAAAAACAAATAAGATAAACTTAAAAAAGTGATTAATTTAGTCTTTTTGCATGTACACTACTTTTAAAATCAATCAAGAGATATTTTGCTTTTCTTCCCTTTTTGAATTTCACACTTTTGTATTAGGCCTAGTAATATTGCAACTACACTATTGCGAGTGGAAATAATATCAGTCTATTGTCAAATAAAGTAAAATAACGTAAAATTATCAGCCATATATATTGCTCCAAAAATACGAATGGTTCTTCTTGCAACATTTTCGTTTAAGAGCGATAATCTAGCAAAAGTGTTTCACGCTGACATTAGCTGTTTTTAGTTCATTTTTTGTCTTTCCACAGTCGTATCTCAGCAAATACTGGTCGGATTTTTGTGTTGCCTACAATTGTATTGCTTGAAAAAGTCACCGTCATTTTTCACTTTTCGATTGGTGCTATGCTGACCGCCCACCGCGTAGAGGCTGCATTTTTACCTCTAGCGACTTGGTCGGCTTTAAATTGCCATTTCGGCTGTTCACCAATCAAATATCTTGTTGTTCATTTCCCCCACCCCCAGTAAACGGAAAGCTCATAGATTCTTCTCATATAAAATAATATGAATTCCCATTGGATGAAAAAAAAATCGTCAAAACACTAATTTCAATATGAATTGAATGAACAATCCTGTCTAGGAATAGACCGAATTAGCGATCGACGCTGTTCAGCTATACTGGGGTACCGTATTCGAACCAACACAAACGCACGAAGATAGGCGATTTACACAGTAATTTAACAAAATATCCTTTACTAAAACGTCTCATACACGCTCTGTGTGTAAAGTTGAGCGTGATTTAAATTAACAGAAACCATTGTTACATGTTTATGAATCTAACGTCATCTTTTCTCTACGATTGTGTAAGCCAAAAGTGAAATATAACGAGAATAAATCGTACTATTTTGGGAATAAAACGTACATTGGTCGTGTCTACCTGTGTTACAGCACGGCGGCGGCAGCCGTGTATTCACTCACAGTGTATCACGTCGGTCGATGAATGTGCTTGTTGCAAAACTCATGAAATGTGTTTTACTTGCAGATTTCAAGTTGAGCTATACAAAATTATTGAATAATTTTCCTAAATTCAATCTAACAAAACAGATTGGGTTTTAATATAAAACGAAATGACTTTGACGACAGCACGGAGCTGAACGTTTAAAGTCATGCCTCACTCAATCATCACATCCAGCCATGTCGCGTTGTCGTGCAACAAGTGTCAGGGGCCGAGGCCTAGCCTGTAAAAACTCTACGTATATCTAACTTAATTTTACATGAAAATCAAATCAAACGTCTTCTGGTGGTTCTACGAACCTTCCTTAACCTACCAATGTTTTAAAAAGTATTTTACCCGCGTACTTTGTTTTTTTTTTCTTGTTTTCCTGGAACATACAAAAACTCGCAGCGTTATAGAATAGGACTTTTAGGCATTGTTTACAATTTTATACCCCTTGGCCAAATTGTGATGACGTCATCTTCCGTGGCTAATTCGGTCTATTATGCCCGGAAAAAAAAAAAATCGGTTTGCGTGGGAATCGAACCCACAACCTCCAAGTTTGCTATTTATGATCCACCATCAACTGAACTGCCTTTTGGAAAAAAAAACAAAAACAAACAAACAAACTTAGCCAGTCCTCTCACGACCTCCGGGCTTACTACCCCTGATGATATACCATGACTTAACCGAGGGAGGAAACACCGCGACCTCTAAGCCATAAATGCGATGAACCTAGTACCACACAAAGTACCAGTTAGTCAACTCTGATATTACTAGAAAAAAATTATTCCTATATATACTACTGCAGCTTAATATTACGCATGGTCATGGTGTCAAAAGTATAGGTCGTGGGCCAAGAGGGTTTATTTTCGCTTTCTGTAGTACAGGAAATGTAGAATTAAATTTATAATCGATTTTTGATTGTTCCCATCTCCATAACTTATGCACTTTTTTAAATAGACAAAAATGTTGAAAAATTCATTATGCAAATTAGAAAAAAATAGACCAATCATGTTACGAGATTGAATGTATTGTACTCGTTGATGACGTC